GTGTCCCGGATCAGGGTGGGGCAGCCTGAGCAAAGGGCCTGTGGTGGTTTGCAGGCTAGCCACGCCCCTGGCAACCCAAGTGGAGGCCCTGGTATCTGGAATTTATTTACCTTCTATAATTGAAACTTTGTATCCTTGAGTGGATAGAAAGCTTGGTTTCCTCCCTTGCCTGGGAAACCCAAGCCTACCTTCTGGTAGCCATCTTGGTTAGGCTTATTTGCATACTCGCTCTGATTGGCTGGTGGGCGTGGCTGGTGGGTATATCAGAGTGATTGTTAATTTGCATATTACTCTTTTATTGGGCAGGCTGTTACCCTGGTAAATTTAATTTAAAAAATAATTTATGTAGTTTTAAAATGTTTACTAATCATCTAACACTACTGCATGCACACACAAATCTACAATAATAAAAGGGTAATATGCTAATTAGACGGGACATCATTCTAGATGTTCTTCCTGACAAAGCCAGGACTGGAGGGAAGCCATCCCGGTCCTGGGTGTCAGAGGGAAGATGTGCCTGTAGTCAGGGTAAAGATCTACTCTTGCACAAATTTTGGGGCATTGGCCCTCTAATATATATATACACACACACATACACAATGTATATACATGAAAATATATACACACACACTACATATACTGTATATGTAAATATATGCGTACACACATCCTCTTTAAGTTAAATCTGTTCTCTTGTCCAACCTCTAACACGGAATAAATTTCTATGGAAAATGCCCTTGAACAATAGCAGCAATTCTCAATCCTGGCTGCATCTTAGAATTACCTCGAGAGCTTTAACCATGATCAAAGGTCCAGTCCTATATTTCTGAGCTAACTGACAACAATGCTGAGAACCGCTGGATAGGTAAATCCCAGAGTATTACATGAGCTTGGGAAACAAAGAAAACACTGTTTAAATATTTTTGGGTTTAAAGTAGCATCATCGTATGAACCACAACCTAAATTAGAAATCTTCTTAACCTGACCTAGTCTCTTAAACTATGCTAAAACCTACAAAACAAGAATGTGATCTTCCAAATGTTTTCTCAAAAGTGAGGGATGACCAAATTTAGATTTCTTTCATGTGAAAGAATATACAATACTATTCTATTTTTCTGGGGCAAAATCCTCCTAAGCCTTATTGCCAAATTTCTGTGCATGCATACATGTGTGCGTGTGTGCGTGTGTACGTACGTGTGTGTGTGTGTGTGTGTGTGTGTGTGTTTCCCTACTATAGAAACTAACAGTATACAGCCTGGCTCTAAGAAATGTGAATCTTCCTTCTGTTTGAATTTTTAATCCATTATCCTCCTATATAATATGCAAACTGACCATCACGCCCTCACACAAGATGGCCAGCAGGGGAGGGCAGTTGGGGGCGACCAGGCTAGCAGGGGGAGAGCAGTTGGGATGATCAGGCTGGCAGGGAAGGGCAGTAGGGGAACGATCGGGCTGGTGGAGGACAGGGGGACCAGTTGAGGGCAATTGGGCCTGCAGGGGAGCAGTTAGGCATTGATCAGGCTGGCAGGGGAGTGGTTAGGGGGCCAGCAGGCCAGCAGGCAGAAGCGGTTAGGGGCAATCAGGCCAGCAGGCAGAAGCGGTTAGGGGCAATCAGGCAGGCAAAGCAGGCAGGAGAGAGGCTGGGAGACAGCAATCCCATATTGTGAGAGGGATATGCCTAAACCAGCAGTCAAATCGGGCCTAAACTGGCAGTCGGACATCCCCTGAGGGGTCTCAGATTAGAGAGGGTGCAGGCTGGGCTGAGGGACACATACCCCCAGTGCACGAATTTCATGCACTGAGCCTCTAGTTTAAAAACATAAAGCCTCACCCTGGCTGGTGTGGCTCAGTTGGTCATGGGATATCCCTTGCACCAAAAAATTGCTGGTTTGATTCCCCCTCAGGGCACAAGGCAGGCTTGAGGGCTCCATCTTCAGTAGGAGACTTGCAGGAGGCAGCAGATCCACCTTACACTCTCACACAGATATCTTCCCCCCCGCCTCTAAAAATCAATAAAAACACTTTTTAAATAATAAATTCTCTACCCAGTATTAGTTCACAGCACAAAGGAGAAATTATTGACATATGTTTTTGCCTGTCATGTTAGCATCACTGGGATGGTGGGGGCTTGCCCTCAAGGGGATAGGAATAGCTGAGGGGAGGGGTCAATTGAGGGGAAATATATATATGTAAACCTTCAGACAATGAAAAAAATGTATTGGGTCTAGTAATAATTAATGTCGTTTTTAACATTCATTTAAAATCTTGCTTGGCGTTGACTTGTATTGACATAACCTTCAAACACGTGGTATCTATAGAACGTGTGAAGTGCAATTAACAAGTTTTGCTTGAAAAAGTTTGTGTTTGGTTTGGTTTTTGTTGCAAAACTAGGGCTAAGAAGATGGCGGATGAAGAGCATATTCGGCACTGCATGCTTTACGAGTTCCAATTAGGAAGAAAAGCAAGTGAGGCTGCAAAAAACATCTGTAGTGCTCTTGGTCAAGATGCAGTTAGCGCCAGAAAATGCCAGCGTTGGTTTGAGAAATTTCGCGAGGGAAATTTTTCATTAGATGACAAGAGTGGTCGAGGCCGTGTGTCCAATTTTGATCAAGAGGTTCTTCAAGCTCTTTTGGTGCAAAATCCTCAAATTACCCAACAAGAGCTTGCGACAACTTTAAATTGTTCACAAAAAACAATTTCCAATCAATTGCGTGCACTTGGCAAAGTCCAAAAGTTTGGAAAATGGGTTCCTCATGAGTTGACTGACAACAACCGTAATCAAAGAGTCACAATTTGCAGTTCGCTCCTCTCTCGTCAAAACCATTTGCCGTTTTTAGAGCAAATTGTTACCGGAGATGAAAAATGGGTGCTGTATGTTAATTTGAAAAGACGGCCTCAATGGTTGGACAAAAATGAGGCTCCGCAGCCCACGCCAAAACCTGACTTGCATGCGAAAAAAGTGATGTTGTGTGTTTGGTGGAATTTTAAAGGAATTCTTCATTATGAACTTTTACCATCTAACCAAACCATTACAAGTGCAGTGTATAGTGCCCAATTGGAAAGGTTAGCCCAAGCTTGAAGAGAAAAAGAACCCGCGCTGATTAATTGGAAGGGCGTAATTCTTCACCACGATAACGCACGACCGCATACTGCAAGAATCACTGCTGAAAAACTGCGCCAGTTGCAATGGGAAGTTCTCCCTCAACCTGCATATTCTCCTGATATTGCCCCTTCCGATTACCATGTTTCGTTCTTTGCAAAACTTTCTTCTTGGAAAAAAATTTAATAATGAAGAATGCCTCAAAAATGCATTGACCGAATTTTTTGCATCAAAATCATAAGAATTTTACAACAGAGGGATTAAAATGCTTCCTGAGCGTTGGGCACAAGTAGTAGAAAACAACAGCAACTATATTGTTGATTAAATTTGTTGTATTGTTTAAATAAATTCGATTTTAAAAAGTATTAGAAAACGATATTAATTATTACTAGACCTTATAAATAAATTAATAAAAATGGTTTTGCCTGCCAACACAGTATAGGACTGGGTAATGGCTTTCTTTCTTAAACTCATTCACTCGTTTCTTTAAAACGCAATACTTATTAACTATTACATAATAGGCACTTCTTTCAGGTGTTTGTGATCAAAACATACCTCGTAACATCCTTTAGATGCCTTAAATTATATAAAGTATTCATGTAGTTCAAAAAAATCTAAAGAATAGGTTAAGATAATGGAAGTCCAAAATAATACTGGAAATGTCATATGGAACTTCTAATTTAATGAGCACCTATTATAAACAATACTAGAGGCCCACTGCACGGATTCGGCCTGCCCAGTGGGGATGGTGCTGAAAATGGCAGTCCAACATCCCCCAAGGGGTCCCGGAGTGCGAGAGGGCACTCCCCAACCTTGCTGTCCATTGAGCATCTGCCACATGAAGGTCAGTGCATGTCATAGCTACCGGCCAGTGGCTTAGGCTTTTATATAGTATATAGGTGTTGCAATGGTCTCTTTATATGTGGTACTCATTTAATACAGTTGCTGTCCTAAAGAAATCAAATCACTACTCAGAAGAATTTTTAAAAGGCCAAACATTCCTTTAATGGAGTTTAAATTTGGCTTTCCACACTAGAGGAAATACTCTATCCTAAAGTTGACAAGAATGAATGGCAGAGTTGAATCAATTTATTCGTACAAGAATTTTTTTCAGATTAGTTCAACCACATCAACTGAGAGAATTTTAGTCAATAAAAAGAAAAATCAAGTTGTCATAAAAATATATTTTAAAATTTTTAAAGTTGAAAATTATGTAAACTCTAAGCATGATGCATAAATTGCCTGTCTGTAGATATTAAGCCAAGTAGCTTATTGATAAAATCGTATTAATGAAGATATCAATAAAAAACAACAGTAAAATAAACATTACTAGGTCAGTGATCAGTTTTCAACTTCCTATACAAACACTAGTCCAGAGCAAAAGTCACTCAGATCAATCAGGAATTCATAGAGCTTGTAATTCAGCCCCAAGCAAAAACGGACAACTTTACCCAAAACTGTTTCCAAACCATTCTAACGACACTCTAAAGAAATTTTTTTAAGCATTCAGGTGGAGTCAGACTCCAATCCCTCAACCGCCTCCAGGGGGAGGGGTAAAGGGGACCCTTGGTTTTGTTTTTCATTTTCAAGGAAATGCTGGTGGGGGACAGCCAAGCGGGAAGTGGAGTCCATTAGTAAGTTTGCGAGTTGACACAGGCCAACCCTAGTCTCCAATTCTAGGGGGACTAATCCCAAAAGGGTAGTCAATCCTCAGTGCGGCCAAAACCTGTCCACTCCGTTCACCTTTTAAAAAACCAACGGGCTCTGCCGGGTCGCCCAACAGCTGGGCCGAGGCCCGGCCCAGCCGCCCCGCCCGGCCGGCCGCCCCCGCCCCCGCCCGGCGCCAGGCCGCCCCGCCCGCGGCCCGAGGGCTCCGGGGCCGAGGCCGGGCCGCGCTCACCGTCGATGTTCTCCCGGTCGCTGATGTGCTGCAGGTTGCAGCCCGTGTCCTCGCGGCTCAGGTCGGCGTCGGGCCGGTAGGACTCCAGCCGGGAGTGCGCGTTCCTCCGGAGCTTGGGGCTGGACGACACGCAGCACGAGGTAGTGTTCCCCATCGTCGGCGGCCCGGCGCCCGCGGCGCCCGCCGGGCTCCCGGGGCCGGACGCAGAGCGGAGGCCCGCCCGCCACAGGGACGGACGGAAGCGCGGTCAGCAGCGGCGGCGGGGGCTCGCCATGGGCGGCGGGCGGGGCGGCGGTGGCGACCAGCGGCGGCGGCGGCTCCCGCGGCCTCCGCGCCGCCCGGGCCCGTCCGCGGCCGAGGAGCACCGGCTGCGCGACTGCGGCCGCCGCGCCGGCCTCACCCCGCCGCGGCCATGGCGGGCGCCGCGCAGGCCGCCTCCCGCGCCTCCCCTCGGCGCCCGGTCCCGGCGGCGGCCTCCGCGAGAGGTTCGGGCGCGAGCGGCGGAGAGAGCCCGCGGGGCGGCGGCGGGGGCGGCGGGGGCGGCGGAGCGGCGCGGCCCGGCTCGGCGCGGAGGCGGCTCGGTGCGGGAGGATGCTCGGCGCCGCCCCGCCCCGCCCGGCGCCGCCCCTTCCCGCTGCCCTGGAAGCAGATCCGCCCCGAGCGGGTTCGGCCCGGTGACCCGGCGGCCGGCCCGATGTTCTTCCTCCGGACCCAGGCGTGTGGCGCGCGGGGCTCCTGAGGCTGCGCTGGGCCCGGGGAACGGGGTCGGGTCGGGGGCCTTTCTTCGTCTTTGTTAAGCTTTCAGAGGAAGCTGCCCTTGGCGGCTCTCTCCTCTGCTCCGCGCTTTGCGGAGGACCTGATGGCGGCCCGGGCTGCTTCAGTGTGGAGTCGGCCGCACCTTGTGCCCGCGGAGGAGGAGGTGGTGGTGACCCGGCCCCTGGCCGCCTGCGTGCAGCCCCGCGGCGCCGGCCGGGCGGTGGATGCCGCTGGAGGTAAAGGGGAGCGCCTGCAGGGGGCTGCCCGAACCCTCACCCCGTGCCCCCGCCTGTCTTGGCAGAAATAACCTTCCCACCCACTTCCAAACACTCCGTGAGGAGGGACTAGGGGAAAATATTTTCAACACGAGGAAACTTGGTGCAACGCTCTTAATTTTTAACATTAGGAAACAGGCACAGAAAGATGAAGTGAGGGGAACAAAAGTACGGGAATTACTATTTAGGTGGCATCAGCATCCGTATACATCGTGCCAGAGGCTTTATAAACACTAATTCATTTAATTCTTGACATTCAGCCTTTTTTTAAAATCTGTTCTGCCCCTCTTGGTAATGTTTATACGTTTATTAGGCCATCTTTTTTAAAAGCTCCATGAACCAACAATATTAATGTTAGAATAAGCGGCGGATGTCCTTGGAATATAAATGGCAGCAAAGAGCTGATGTTGGCAAGATGACAAAGGAAGTGTAGAAGAGTTCTGAAGCCTAAAAGCGGTGGAGAGATAGCAACAAAGCAAAATAAGGCTCTTCAGAAAGGTAGTCTGACACTCTTGCCGCCCAGGAAAGATGAACTGGAATATAACAAGCCAGTTAGTGTGCACATACAGATTTTCAGGGCTACAATGTGGATAAGATGGCTGAAAATCAGTATATTTTGTATTTTGGATGCCATCAGCACCCAATTACTAAACCATATGTATATGGCATATTCACTTAGGCACATTAAATAATTCTTATTTAATCATAAAATTTGCAATTGATAAGGTTTGAAGGGCTTAAGAGGGTTGATCAGGTGGCACTGAGGAGACAGATAGCATGTCTGTCTCAAGGTTTCTCTTCTGCGGGATCACTGGGCAGTGTTAAGTGGGAATAACATTTGAAGGCAGGGAAGACATGGGGGGGTGGGATGTAGCCACAGACTCAAACCAAAAAGTGGGTCAGCCCCAGATCTGCAGGAACTTTTCTGTTCCCACACCCCCTCCACCCTCTGTTTGACAGTCCCACTGTATTTCCCTTAGAAATGCACCTGTTGGACTTTTTCAGATATATGACTTTTGGTCAGTGGGCCTGGGGAGGAAAGATAAGTGCTAAAGCCTTACCAGTGATTTAGCTGAGTGCCAACCACCACACCCTTACACACATACACTCATCAAACTCCTCCACGCAGACAGATACACAGAGACACTTTAAGAAAGGTGTCACTTGTTGAATACCTGCTAAAAGCCAGGCATTGTGCCAAGTATTTATGTATATATTTTTAATTGATTTCAGAGGAGGGAGAGTGAGATAGAAACATCAATGATAAGAGAAAATTACTGATCTGCTGCCTTCTGCATGCCCCACACTGGGAATCCCGCCCACAACCCAGGCATGTGCTGTGACGGGGAATCAATCAATGGTGACCTCTTGGTTCATACGTTGACACTCAACCACTGAACCACACCAGCTGGGCGCTAAGTATTTTTTACATATAAGCCTATGCTGTTATCTCCCATTTTACAAATAAAGATGCTTTAGTTCCAATAATTAAATCTGTCTAAGGTGAGACTACTGAGAAATGGCCTACCCAGAGGGTTCTGATTACAAAGTCCCCTCTCAGTTGCATCCATCTCTAAGTATCACTGGACAGGACAGGAGCAGGGACAGATTAGAATAATGAGAGAAGAGATGTGCAGAAGCTTTGAGTGGAAAAGAGACTAGTATTGCTTCTCTCCTTTTGCTGATTGGAGTTGCAAGTGATCGCCTAGGACTAGTTCTAGACTTGGAGAAGAGAGAATGAAGCTTGTTAATTTCTGTGGGCCCCACCCTTCTCACCAGCATAAGTAGTGGGTCAAGGAGGAGAAGCCTGATGCAGAAATTTAGTTGCACCTTCTCTGACATTGTATAACTTGTAAATGTAAATGTGGGGACACTTCCTCAGTATGATGGATATAGCCCAGGATTGGGGCGGGAAGGGGAGAGGGAAGGTTACTGATCTCTCAAAACATTTAGCCTTCTTAGAAACCATCAACCTGCATCTAATCAGAGCCAACTCTGCTCTTTGAGCCAAAAGAATCATGATATAATTCTTTTCCTTCATCTTTCTTTGTAGCCAGGGTTTGAGAATTTGGTCATTATATGGAACTTTGGGTGAACTAGTTAAGTCAGTGCTCTTCACATTTTTTAGCAGTAGTAGCTTTTTTTTTCCCCCAACAGAATTTTTAATGGAACCAAAATATTTCAAACAAATGATATTAGTATTAACTTAAATGTTTAAAGATCTTATAAAAACAAAATTGGTGAGTATATACCAACTTAATTAAATTAGGTGAAGCATAATAAGTACAGTCTTACTTCAGCTATCCACATATCCATGAAATATGAATCTATCATTTGCACAACTCTCAGAATCACCTCCTAGAATACAGAAAACACTGAGACACATTAACCCAGGATCTGGACCTTTGGTCAAAAGAATGAAGAAGGCTAGGCTCAGGAACAAAGGAAAAAACCTGCTCAAAGTATATCTGCCCTTTCCTGGCTACCTGGTAGGCAGTTTGGTATGTGAGTAAAGCAGTTGTAAAGCAGTTGTGAAATAACCAAGACTCTGTTGTATTACCAATGCTCTTGTCACCCAATGAGCACCTCAAATAAGGACTCCCCTCCCTTTCTTATTCACTGGTAAGCAGTTCACAATGTAACAGCTTACTTAATGGGGAAAGTATTTACTTTGGTAGCCACTTGACCTTGACCAATGTAGATGATTTGTTTATTGATAAAACATTTGAAAGAGTGCTAAGCCAGGCACCTTGGGTATACAAAAATGGATAAGATATAGTCTTGCCCTAGAGAAACTCATAGTGCAGTAAACAGTAAAAAGAACAGATTGAGAACATGTACAGTAATATAAGTGATTATAGTCATTTAGTGCTAAATTATGAAGAATGCCAAGCCTGATGTCTATAAATATATACCTTTTTCACCGGTGGATACACCTATAAGATATTTATCCCATAATTTAAAGAATTGTACCCAGACACTGTCAGATTAAAAACCCAAAAGCAATTAAAGATGGCTAGTAGATTTAAACACCAATGACAAATCTAGACCAAAGTAATTGCTGAGAACATTATATTGAGAAGGATTCTGAGGTCATGTTCCAACTTAACCAGGAAAAAACTCTGCCATAAGGAAAGGAGGAGGGGAAGATAATACGCCACATATTTCCTACCCTTGACTAAAACCTTGGTTTAAATAAGGAAGCAGAGGACAGTCATAATCTCTGGATACCTGGGCAAAGGCTCACTTAGGAAATGATTTATCTACCTCACCAATGAGAATACACCACCTGTCCCCAGGTTAGACAGCCTATAAGAAGTCTAGTCTCTTTTGCCAAACTATCTTCTTTATCCCTCTTTGCTCACCATGGACAGGAAGGGTAAATGTATATGTAATCTCCAAGAACTAGGATGTGCTTTTGATAAGGCAAATTCAGCATTTCACTGGGTCAGACATAAGTCGGGCTGGGAGAAGCTGCTACTTCCCTGCCCATTGTCCATTCTTTCATCTCCCTTCGTACGGGTTCTCCATTTTGTGAGGAACAGCAATATGCCTGCCTCAAAGAGGATAGCTGGCCACATGGCTAAATCAGACCAATGAGATATGAGTGGAATATTCAGGAAAGCTCTCTGAAGAGGCTTCCTCTTTTCTACTTTCTGGAATGTGGACATGATGGCTGGAACTCAAGCATGCATGTTTGAATACCAGGTGACTTTGAAAATCGAAGCCATGCACTAAGGCCGTGGTTGGCAAACTGCGGCTCACGAGCCACATGCGGCTCTTTGGCCCCTTGAGTGTGGCTCTTCCACAAAATACCACAGCCTAGGCGAGTCTATTTTGAAGAAGTGGCATTAGAAGACGTTAAGTTTAAAAAATTTGGCTCTCAAAAGAAATTTCAATCGTCGTACTGTTGATATTTGGCTCTGTTGACTAATGAGTTTGCCAACCACTGAATTAAGGTAATGTCCCTATACTCTTCTTTTATCTAAGAGAAATAAACTATTGTATAAGCCAAGAACAGGTAACATTGTCTCAGGAAGTGCCTGCCAATGCTTAGATGGCTGATTAATTTCTTTTGGGGCTATCACTTCAGCTAAACACAATCATCTACAGGAACTTATTA